CCCCAAAACCCCAAAACCCCAAAACCCCAACACTTTTATTTAATAAAATTTATCAAAGTGAACTTATTTATATTTAATAATGGCCATATTTTTCAAAAAGATAACGTCTACGATAAGAATTAGCATGCTAATTCTTATGTTTAACATCTATCTACAAGCTGTATCATCGGTAAGTCATTCCTAGTAGCAATCTATGTATTTTTACTCAAGAATTATCTATTTCAACGCTGTTGTGAACATTTTCCAATTTTTTTATCAATATTTGCGATCATTTGCTATATGGTCAGGTTTAAACTGATTCTGCACATAATTTTTAACCAAGAACTTTATAGACCTTGATAAATCTGTGTGAAATGGCTGTTAAGATTTGGTTTAACAGCATTACCTTTGTTGCCAACTCATTTGGAGTACATTTTATTCATAAAACAATAAAGCTTTCATGTTTCTCTGATCATTTTTCCATAAAGTTCTATAAGATTATGGTTTGTCAACACGAATTCCTTTGCTCTCAAGCAAGGATTTTATTCAGTTGTCCTTCATTTTTCATAATTAGAAAGTTATTCATATCCCCGCTTTAGTTTTTATGCTAAAGACACTTGCTGATGTCTTACCGTATTACAAATTGAAGCATAAAAATTCGATAGATTTGTGAGAATATGAAGTTTCTAGCCTGACCAAATTTTGAGCAATAAAGCTGAATGGTACTCTAGCCAGAAGTTTCATTTTCTGCCTCAAGAGCTAGCTGAATTAAGGAGTTTAATGGCTAGAGACCTGATATGTAATTATTATTAAGATTTTAGGCGGATTCTCAAGCTGTTAATTTTGTTCCATTTTCACTTAAAACCCCTTTAAAATGCACCAAATTTCATAAATATCCTAAATATCTGGTGACTCTTAACTTGTATGAAGCAGTAAAGTAGGATGCTAATATTAGAAACCACAAGGTGTATCACTGCAGTACTAATGATATTATGGGAAAAACTAGGTGGAAGTAACTCTTCCTCGAGACTTGTGACTCCTCACTAGTTATTTTCAATTCTAAAAAAGGGCAGCTAGATTATTTACATCTTGAATTTCAGGATCTTTCGTTTTTTAAAGAAGTAATAATAAGGTGTTTATTTAAATAAATAATAGCCATCAGAAGAGCCTGTCTTCAGAGCTTTATTATACCTTCAATTCTGAGGATACTCACTATGAGGTCTTGTGCTTTATTCAGCTTAAAATACTGCGCACAATTTGGGGGAGGCTTTATTATTCAAGTAAAAAGGTCGACTCAAATATTGTATAGGACATGGCTAAATCTACTATAAATTATTTTGGAGTGTTGCCAAAGATGCACTTGTTTATAGGAAATTTTACTCTCCGAATTTGTTGTGCAAGATATTGGGTAATTAGTGAAACATCATATAAATTGTCTTATGCTGAGTTCTAAAAGAACCCCAAAGTAGCTTCCAGTTAGTTTTTAGTATTTGAGAAATAAGAATAACAACATGTAACTATTATGTAGTCTATGTTATTTTAAGAGTCTCAATTTTTTATTTCAGCTTAAAACTTAGAGAGATTTTTCATAAACTTATAGTGAGCCCCAGGATATTTCCAAGACGAATTTGGCTGAAGAGCTTGCCATCCAAGCTGAGACGCATGCGAAACATATGATCAGTGTATTACTTGAACTGATGGACTTATCAGTAAGAATTACTGGTGGTTTAGGTAGGTCTTGAATTAAAGCTAAGAGGGCTGGCCTAGACATGCTTTGGATTGATACTGATTATATAATTTATAGGGTCGTCAATTACAGGTCTTTGAGAATTTCCCAGCTGAGATTATGGTATGGTCCTTTTTCTTTCGCCGTATTTTGCTATTTCCCATTCAAATTTAAAATTGAAATAGGTGACTTTTTCTCATATACATTACTGAAGTGAGGAGCATGAGGAACTAGCTGATATAAGCAATGAGCATATCAATCCCACTGACACTCCTGTACCTCAGGAGAAGTCTTTAATCTAGATCTCTTCAAATGAGAATCTGGATGAAATTCTGACACATATGTTACAATTACAAACTCAGAAATTACGGATTTTCGATTCTGCAGGTCCCTCATATATTATGTGAACCCCCTTTCAGACAGCTCAACTGAGATGGGAACTAAAGAACACCCATACAAGTCCTTGGATATGGCTTTGTCTGAGATCTATTTGCTTCATTCCAACTCAGACAGAGCAGTGACTGTCAGACTTTTAGAAGACACGACAAACTGTCTTTCATCAAACACGCACATCATCAATCTTTCAATGATCACTATTGAGTCCTACAGCGAAACATCTGGGATAATTCGCAAAGCCAAGTAAGTGTGTAAGATAACACGTAGGATTGTGGCTGTTTCTGACAAGCATCAGTATTGCTCTGAGACAACCCCAACTCAATTCGTATTCACACAGATTTTACACGAGTCAAGTCCTCCAGCAAACTCAGACATCCCACCTGAAGAAAGTTCGTTTCTGATAGACCAGTTGGGAGTCCTGAATGTCTATAAATCAGAGCTAGTGCTGAACAACCTCATTTTGACCACCCAATACGACTCGAATGACACTGCAGATAAGTTAAGCTTATTACTAATTTTCTCATCGAATTCTGGAAAATTTTTCTTTGCTTATAGACTGCTAATAAATTTTATATTTCAGATTCAAATGTACAATTATGTAACCATTTTTAATAGAAAGAAAATCTTTATTAGGCCAATAATGCTATATGAGAGAACTGTTACAATCCAGAATTGCCAGATTCTTGCCCAAGGATTCCTCATTAGAACTCAACAGCAGATGAACCTCCAAATCATCGATACTGACATTGACTTTGTGAAGGCTATTGGAGGACTCAGATTGTCAATGGATTGCATTAGAAATGACATTGAGACTACTGTAAAGCTTGATGGAGTCAAGTTCTTCTTCTCAGAAGGTAAGCAGGCTTTCTGTTATTACCAGTGTAATTTTTCTAATAGTTTGACTTAATTTACTCAAATTGTATGCTAAGAGTGGCATCCTAATCTCGTTCATTATTCTAGAAAGATATGAACATTTTAGTATTTATATTATGGCTCTCACGAAACAATAAAGACTTTATTGCCTATGATGATCTAAAGCATAACAAGTCGGTGTAAATTTGAAGATATTTCCAAGATGTTCTTCGTAATTTTCTAACATCTTAAACGAAATATTTTTGATAAAGGCATTAATAAAATAAATTTCAGGCTTAGCACAAGTTTTTAGTAATGATTAGAAAGTTTACTAGCTTAGAATGTAAACCAGAAGTGAAGCAGTGCGAAATTCAAATATATTTAATCATACCTTAGTGAGTTTAGTACGAAATTTAATCCCTTCTTTTTTATCAAAACTAGGGTTCTTTATTTAGACGTGATCCCATTGATTCCATCAAAAATTTGAGGTTTTGTTAAAATACAGAAATTTATCATTCTCATAATCTAGACCCAGGAGAAACAACAGGAACATTCTTTGACTGGATCCAAGAAGGAGGAGATCACATTGTTATCAACAACTCTTGGTTCGAAACATTTGGAAATTTAGATGACTCAGGCCCATTCCTGGTTTATTTAGATATCAATGATTGACCAAAGACATCACCTAAGTCAATATCTTTGATAAATTCAGTGATAACTTCTCCTAAGTTCTCACCTTCTCTTGATCCAGCTCTGATAACAATGTATTTTGAGTATTTAGAGTTAATAACATGTAGGAAATTAAACCCTTCAGATAGGGTAATGCAACTTGAAATTAAGAACACTATCATAAATGTGACAAATAAATTGATTTATCCTCCAATATCCATCAACTACCAAAGCAACTTTGATCTTGTAATCAAAGACAGTTCCTTCGAGAACTTACAAGCTGTCAGCCTCATTGAAAATTATGGACTTCGGAGTAATGTCACAGTCTTAAATATAGATTTCCATATTGAGAACACTATTTTCAAAAATATAACAATGACTCAAGAAAGCATGTTATTTATTATAGCAACCAAATCAATAGTTCTGTCAAATGTATCCTTCATAGATTTGGTGTCTTCAACATCTGACAAAGGAACTCTGATTTATATAGAGGCACTTGAGTTATGTGAAATTACTCTTTCGGATATCTCTTTCAATGGAGGATCGATACAGAATTCGAAAACTTTGGTTTCTCTCAAGAACTCTAAAGCAAAGACTTTTGTCTCAGGCTTGAGAATAGACTCATTGCTAACAAATAATGACTGCTCCTTAATAAAGTTATTAGAGTCAACTCTAACTGTGTTTGAAAACATGTTTTTCACTGACTTGATGCCAATCAATGAGTCTATACCTAGTTCTTTGATCCTGGACCTTACAGAGTTAAGCTCGCAAGCTTCTAACAGCATTCTGATCAAGAATGTGACTACCAGGCATTCTAATATTGGAGTACTTGAAGTGTCGAACACAGATCAGAACAAAGACATCAACCAGTTGATTACCATTCAAGATTTCACAGTGGAAGAAATATACGCTAAAAGGCTCAACTACATGATCTCGTTCGTGGACATCCAGGCCAACGGAGAGTTCAAGATTAAGATTGATGGACTTTACTTAAGGAGAATCTTTCTGGGAATTTGGGATAATAATTCCTCTAAAATAGAGCTGGAAGCTTTATCTTATACTGACACTATCTCTGAGTATAATATAGACTCCTACATCCTTACTTTTAATCAGGATGTTAAAGAAGCTGTAGAAATTAAGAATGTTATCTTCGAGAATTGAGTTAATGCCAATATCGTATTTCAGCCTCCCACAAGCAGGATTCCAGAGTTTTCAAAGATAAAAATTACAAACTTTACTGCAAGGAATGTTTCAGTCGCTTCAGTGTAACTTTCAAAAATATATTTAGACCCCTCATTGGTGTTGGATCGAAGGTGATTGTCGAGATATCAAACTCAAGTATTCATCATATCTCATCTGCATTCGAAAGCATAGCATATGTTATTTCCCCAAACTCAGTTTTGTCGTTTGTTGACTGCAACTTTTATAGCAACTCAGCAATTTCTGGAGGGGTGTTTCAAATAAACTCAAAAAGTTCTATAACTTGACACAGATGCAATATTACTGACAACTTTGCATTCAGTGGAGGAGTTATTTCCTCATCACTTGGTGGCAGCTTCATGTTTACTGATTCGTTTATCAGTCACAATTATGCTTTTGCAACACCCATTGCTGTAATCTCAGAATCAGACGAAAGCTCTGTGATCAGTAACTGAAACATTTCTGAGAACTTCAGAGTATCCGAGGATTATATCAAGAATGAACACTTGATGCAGAGTAAGTCAGTTAGTAACATTGTAGATCATATCCCTTCATCTTTTAGAGAGTATGTTAATGATCATTCCGAACTATTTCTACAATCTGAGTCATCTTCGATGTTCAGTTTGATGGCTGCTGAACTCACGATCAACAATGAGACCAGGATTATGAATCAATCCAACATAGTTTCATCAATAAATTCTAATATTAATATTCAGCAGATGATCATATTGAATGGAGAGCCTGATACTGCTTTGTTCAGGTTTATCGAAAGCAACGTTACTGTTGAAAAATTAGAAGTGGACGGAACTACTCAGAGAAAAGATACTAATAGTTTCATATTTAGCCTGATAGACTCTCAATTTACATTCATAAATTCTAGAATCTATAACATTGGACTCCCGATTATTTCCTCTACACTATCAAATACTGAAATAAGCAATCTCACAATTGATTCAGTAAACTCTACAAGATCTTTGTTTAAGATTTGGGTTAAGACTGTTGCCAAGATTGAGGGTGTAAAGATAAATAGTGTTCAGACAAACTCATCTATCTTTTCTATCACAGACTCTACAATAAAAGAAATTAAAGATATTTATATAACAAATATCCCAATTAAAGCTTTTGAAATATTCAAAAGTGAAGTCATGTTGATAGAGAATGTGAACATGATTAATATTTCGAGAGGGATTCACTTCTGAGAGTCTAATGTTACTCAACTTACTCTAAGTACTTTTGAGAGTTGTGGCTCTGAAAATTTACCAGAAGGAGCTGCATTGCTTATCGAACAAAGTAACGCCACAATCACCCAATCGGTGTTCCGTAATAACAAAGCAGACATGGGAGGAGCAATCAGCATCAAGTGAAACATTGGAACAGCATGACATACACTGATAGTTCAAAATAATTTTAGCTCCAATTCAGCTAGAGTGCAAGGTGGAGCAATAAATTATAACTATAACCAACCAGAGCTAGTTGGACTTATTCATGAATCAAACTCAGCACCTTATGGTCCGGACATTGGAAGTTATGCAGCTGATTTTATTTTCAAGGCAACAAATACTAGTGTGCTTCATATGGACCAGGTTGGAAGTGGGATTTATTTGGATCATAACATTGAGATCCAAATAATAGACCATGAGTACCAAGTAATGAACCAGATCAACGAAAATGTGCTGAGGATATCTCCTCATTGGGGCAACTATTTTAACCAGCACGCTCCTGATAATCTAGGAGTACTTGGAATTGATACTGCCAAAATTGTAAATGGAGCGGCGAATTTTAGCAACATTGCTTTGGTTGCTCCTCCTGGTCAGACTAATATTACTTTCCATCTCTTTTATTCCGAATTTGACTATACTAAAATTATAGTTTTGAATGAAGTTTCAGAAGATGAAATATCTGAACATTTCCCTCATATTGTTGCTAATTTTAGGTTTTGTCAACCTGGTGAAATGCAAGCGGATCAAAAATGTGTCCAGTGTGACTCCCTAACTTACTCACTTGATTGGAACCAAACTTACTGAGCAAACTGTGTGAGCAATGCAGATTGACTTGGTCAGCAACAAATTTCTGTACAAAAAGGCTATTGGAGAAACAGCACTAACTCTACTTCCATTGTCGAATGTCTACGCTCTGAAGCTTGTCTTGGAGGTTATCACCCTGAAAACACTCACCCAGTGAAATGATCTGAAGGGTATTATGGAGTGTTGTGCTCTCAATGACAAGTGACTCTTGATTCAAAGTATTATCAAGAAAGAAACTTCAAATGCACAAAATGCCCATCCAAGATAGTCAATGCAATACAAGTTTTCTGTTACCAAATATTGGTATTGATTTTCCTATTCGTTATGATTATTGTTAATTTCAAAAAGAAAGATGAAAATCAGCTCTCAATTTTGATGAGGATTTTAACCAACTACATACAACTTATTTCGGCAGTAATGATGTTTCAGATTGATTTCTCTGCGACTATGAGCCAGATGTTCAGAGAAAGTGGGCGCGTAAACTCTGCGGACAGTTCATTTTTCTCATTCGACTGATTTCTAGAAGACTATGAACTCAAGCTTTTTGCTCCCAACACTGTTATTTTAAAACTGTCTCTCTATGTGTTTTTACCTCTTATCATTTTGGCTATCATAATGACGAAAGCTTTCCTATTCAGAGTTGTAATGCACTTTACAAAGCCTTATAAATAAGTACTGCATGAAGCGTTTGTTTGTGATTTCAGTCCTGTCAATTATGATTTTGATGCACCCAAATATGGTTTATGAATCACTCCGAATATTCCAGTGAGTAAAAGTAGATGCAAACGATTACAGGATGATCATGAACATGGACAATCACTGATATTCATCTGATCATATAAAATGGATATTGATTATTGGCATCCCATTGATGGCCACTTGGGTAATAACGTTTCCAGTTTGTATCAACATCATTTTATATAAACACAGAGCAAATCTGCATGAACACTTTGTTTATAAATACTTCTTGATCGTATACCAAGGACTCAAACCATCTAGTTTCTATTGGGAGGGAGTCAACTCCCTCAGAAAGACAATGGTAGTTGCGCTATCAGTGTTCTTGTCAACGTACGATCCTCACTACAAAGTGTTGTTTTCAATCGGTAAGCCAGTATGTTTATTATGTAGTATGGCTTTTTGCAATTCTCAAAATTCAACAGGCAATGAAACCTTACAAAAATAATGAAAACAATAAAATTGACGAGTTAGCTATAGTTGCAGGCATTATTACAATATATTATGGGATCGTTTTTATTCAAGAACAAACTAGAACTCCAGCTCTCAGATTTTTGAGTCTGTGAGTGATACTAATAGGCAATGCTGCCTTTCTTTTGCAATGGACCTACCTTGTGTGCAAAGATCGTAACTATAGCAACAAATGTTTCAGAACATTTATGAAGATATTTGCTTTTGTTTTGTGCAAAGAATTTGAATCTCCACTTGTTGAGCCTCGGCCAAAACTCAAATCAAAGAAAGGTATTTTCTGGATGCTACTATTTAGATATCATTGTTAAGAAAAGAGTTTACGGAAGAAAATACAAAAGAAACAAAGCCTCAAGAAAATCAAGATTCAAACCTAAATCTGACACTCTCGTAGAGAGTTCAAGGAAGAATGTTGAAAACTATACAAAGTTTCCAGGTATGCATTGAAAAATTATGATGCATTCCGTTTTGAGTAATTTAAGTTTAACATAGATAAGTTATATTTTGTGTTAATACATTTATAAATCATCCATTATCAAGAAACCATATTCTAACCTCTAACTTCTAGATCAGTCTTCAGATAGATTTAAAATCCCCAAAATAACCTCTAGTCCCCCAAAACCCCAAAATCCTCTCTCACCTACCACCATCCCAACCCCAGTTTCAAAATTCCTCCCCATACCCCACCCTCACCACCCCCAACAGCCCACTTACTATAAAATCTCACCAATAATCACCCCTCTTCCCGGGGTTTTGGGGTTTTGGGGTTTTGGGG